GACGTCCTTGTGACTGTCACAAAAATAACACACTAAAATACTCAGTGACCAATCACAGACAAGGATTTTCTTGGAGGGAAATATGATCTCAAGGTCAACTGAACGGGCAATGAAATAAATCCAAAATAAAGGTATTTATCAAGCGAGTTCTGGGGATCTAACATCCCCAACAAGCTGGTCGATTCAAGAGTCCCTAAAGTGTTGTTCAATGTTGCTGATTACGTTACCTTCCTTGCTTTTCACTTATCGTTCTGGTTTACGATGACTTTCAGCTAGCTTCTTTGTTGTGTCATACAACTGTCTCAAGTTTCCTTCTCTTGTAGCCTTTCCAGCCATCATTGCTGGTTATAAATATATATTTTGGATACTTCTAAATACACAATATCAGAGTGAGGTGAAATAGTATTCGTAACGTTTTAGAGAAATTCGGTCTCAAATCCGTGGTTAGATATCACTATGACTATAATTAATTCACTGCAAACTGCAAATAACAACTAAATGATTGAGGAATCCAATGAAAGTTTATTTTGTCATACCAAAACTATTTATCCATATACTTATATTTTGAAAACGATTAGATAATTCAGTTTAATTTACAATTCACAATTCATGAAAAACGCTAAACTATTCAGAAACACTATCGTACATTATGTTGATAGACAGGATCCATCTATTGTTTTTATACCGAATATTTGTAACAATGATTGTAAGAATGTGAATTATATAATTTAGACTAAGCATTTAGTTGAAAATGACAGCTATTTGTTATTTTTACTAGTCATCAGTCCTCTGAATACATAGGTGTGTCAATTAAACTGTGTGATAAGAATAGAATTACGCTAAGAAAATACCATAACCACTATATAATGAGTGTTTTGAAGTAATAGGTGTTACATTGGACATCAGAATTGAGAATCAGTATTTCCTCAGTACGTAAGTCACATGTTAGATTTACTTTACTGCAATCAATAAACAAAACATAATTAACAAACAAGATATGCAAACCACTTTAGTTACATTTGAACATGTTTAAATAGTGCATGTAATGTTAAGTTAGTCTATTCAAGATATATCTATTTACTTTGTCAAGATAATCCTACTAATCCTTTTATCTATAAAATGCAACTTTGTCGATATTGTTCCAAATATAATACGTTGAAAGTGATCGAAATACTTTTTTCATTTCTGTGATTATCATAAGCTGTTAACTGTATAAATTTAAAACTCCTGGGATGAGAAATAATGATCAACTGTCAAATAATTGTTTTTTTCCCTTGGAACTTTTTAGTTTCCAGAAAATACGATATGGTTTCAAAATAATTGATTGATAGTGTTTTCTATGTAACATAAAACGAGTTATAAGTATGAGCATAGTAATCGCTTGTCATGCGTAGTAAAACAATCCTCACCAATGTGACTTATATGATGGGGTTTGTGACATAAATGACTTCACTCTAAACGCAATTAAAAATAGGAAGACAAACAGTTGAAACTGAGTAACCATCCAAACGTTTATTCCACGCTTAGTTCGAATAGAGATCAAGATAAATTGACTGCAACTGAAATTGTATGATCATAATAGTCTTTATCATTTGTTCAACTTTCTTTGAAAAAAATCTTTGTCCATCAACTCATATACAATTTAGTTAAAGTCCCGCAGACTTCCCTGTCAAGCTTCATTTGTCTTTTGTTAATAAATTAGAATAATTTTTTACTTATGAAGAAAAAGAATTAACTATCTAAATCATTTCTGTTATTTTGATATTATAGAATTAAATTCACAGAGAAGAAAACTTTAGACAGATCATAATCAGTTTGATTGAATTTCGTATTTTATTTCAAACACTGTAAACCATTAGAGCTCATAAATCAAATTTTTAGAGCACAAATAATTCATATCATTTCAGATATATAGTATTTCAACTCGTTTTTAAAAATTTTTTATAATCCTTAAAATGTCTTTATACATCGATTAATATCAACTCAGAATCAAGTAAAATTAAACGTCAGATATATGCGCATGATTTTATGAATATCGAAGACTCCTTAATAAAAGTTTTTATTAATGAACCATTCTTTACTTTGTATTTGAGAACTTTTTGAAGATCTACAAGAGGAAAACCAGCAAGTGTCATGGTTCCGTCAACACGTGGAACTAATGTAAGTTTGATATCCGCAATAACAGAAAATGAAGTTCTTTGTGCTTAAACATTTTATGGTTCAGTAAACTCCGATAAGTTCATTTCTACTTTTGATCAATTGATTGAAAAATGCAATCAAAAATTAATTTTTCAGAATTGCTTTTTTATCCTTGATGATTCAAGGATCCATCGCTTCAATATTATCAAAAATTTTTTGATGAAAAGGGACTAAAGGTAATGTTTTGTCCCCTTATAATTATATGCCTAATCCAATTAAATTTATGTTTTCAAAAATTAAATTCATTGTAAGAAGATCGCTGGCGAGCGGATATAATGAATCATTTACAAATCTTATCTATTAAATTCTTTAAATCAATTAACCACAAATGATTTACAAGGTTATTCGAGGTATATACGTTGCAATTGTTTAAAAGCGATTGCTAAAGAAGACTTAAATTAAAAAAAAGTATTCTTTTTATTTTTTTAAAAAAGCTGTGAAAATTTTAAAAAACGAGTTGAAATACTATATAAAATGTTCATTAGAGATGAATAAAATCTCTTGAACATTTTTATTTCGTCGGAATTTATGCTCCCAGATTAAGTGAATAAAAACCAAAAGCATTCATTATTGTTACATCTAATAAATTTGAAAAATTGTTATTTTCTTGATATCGTTTACAAAGCTGTTCAGATATAATGAATTGAAGATATTGTTTCATAGAGTTATGTCAGTTCACACATTCGATTATCGGTTATTGAATTAGATTACTGTAGAAATGGTGTTTTTCCTTGTGCTCGTTCTCACTCTTCGAATGACATTGTGAACCGATAATTGATAAATGTTCTTCATTGAAACTACATTTTGTTCATGTGAAACAATTAAGATCCACTTAAATTTATTGACACATTCTAAAACATGACTGATGGAATTCAGTCAAACGTAAAGACGGTAGAGCAAAGCATATTTTACGTTTTACTCATGCCTGATTGGTCCAGTTTTTAAAGGTTGATTAGTTCGCTGATAACATTTTATTATTTCTGGTGTGATTGATCTTTACTTGAGCTTTCTATCTACAATACTGTGTAATAGATATGCTTAGCCTCAAACTAAATACTGATGAACCATAAACTCAAGCTTGTGGTTTCGCACACTTTTAAAAATTTAATTTTAGAATATTTTGAATAAGTGTAGCTTTGAAAGAGGAGCCTATTTTTATCCAGTCAGTTGTTTGATCAGATCACTATATGTGATTCACACAACTGTTTGCGATATTCATTTTTGCTATCAGTTACGATATATTAGCTGTTTAGCTGTCCGTAATGATGTGTGGTTTAATTTACAAGAATGAGGAGGCCAAGATTATCATAATATCCTAAACTATTTCACATATTCTGACACACAATAGTCAGGTTAGTAAAATATTGTTGTGAAGCATGCTAAATGGTGCATTATTCTGTGACATAACATCAAATTGCTATCTGAATCTAAAAGCCTTTGATTCTATGATATATGTGGTTTTCATATTAACGATATAATAAACTGCTAACCAATATTTAGATTCAGTGGGGAAGTTAACTAAGCTTTAATGTAACCATGTTAAGACAGAGACATGTAAATCGTAGTAAACCACAGTGAAAATATATTAAAGTGTTGAATCTTGGATTTAACTGATAACAACGGTTCATGTTTACCTAAAATATGTTATTGAAATAATTGAAACAGAGAAAGTACAATCCTGATCCACAACTGCTGGCAGAACAGTAACCATTAATAGTTCTTAATGAAAATAATAGGAAAATAAGAAAGTCTAACTTATTACTTCATACCCTGTGGAAAAGCTTGAGCATATCTAGGCTAAATTGTTGGGTATTAGCACTTTGGCTTTCGAACAGATTAGTACTGTGTTTGCTTCTCTATATGGACATCATCTAACAGATGCAGGTGAATCGTACCAATAATAAAATTTGCCCACTGAATCCTTCTGATAGCTGTAGTTCATAAATTACTAGAGACGAACAACGATATTCGATTTGGTTCTTAACTTGTAATCCTCTTTTTCCAAATATATGTTGTTTGCTGACGAAATTTTCCCCTATTTGAAAGACAGCCTTGCATGTGATAAGAAAATTCATAAACCATTGTAATTCACTATGCATGACAGTAGTTTTTAATGCATAGTAAATGCATATTACATCATTCTTGAAAAGGTTTTGTATTTACCATGGTGTACAGTTGAAAAACTACGAATTTTAAAATACCTATACTTATCACGATTTAGAAATGTATCAAGTTATAGATCGTTATGATTGATCACCAGAAAATGTAGATCGCTATGAATTCAAATCTACATCGTTATTTTGCCTCTTGGGCTATCAGCCTTTATTAGAAAAACTTTTCAATAAGTTTTCGACATAATTACCACATGTTTTCAATAAAAAAATAATCTCTCTAGAATTATTCCATATGTTCTAAATCAGTTTTATCTTTATAAACTTGTTTATAATTAGCTGATATTCACCATCATTTCTTCCGATCAGCTAGTATTATTTAAAAATATTCTTACATCTTATAAATAGAACACTATGGAGTACTCTCATCATAATCACTTGATATTTAATGCTGAAATCTAATTGACATATCTAAACATGATGTGTAATTCGAACCAACTTAGTTTTAGGAACAGAGCTTCAATATTCTGGGGCCCATGACAAAAATAGTCTTATTATTCATTAGGTCAAATGTTTGAATTCCCAAAAAAACTCTCGTTTACATAGAAATATCATTCAAAAGTTGCAGTGTATCGCTTCATCAGAAGAACAAACAAGGAGATATAAAAAATAAAATGTATTTTCTAAAGCCTTACATTTTTAATTTTCAAAGTTACCTTCCATTTACATATTGTTAACGTTGAATAATAGTATATTGTTGAAATGAAAAAGTCTAAAATGTGATCATTTTGTTCTCATTATCAATATATATATCTGGAATTTGTCAATAATATATTTGTTTATAGTCAAATGGAATTTACTCCAATGTAAGTGGTTGAATTTTTTTTTACATAAAAAGGTACTAGAATATCATTTTTCATTTTATTTCTCATTCATCCTAGTTGAAATGTTTCCACTGACAAGATTTGTCATTGAACAACTGGAGCCGTCTGTATTTGTTTTAGTCGATGATATAATGGTTGATGGTGCAGAAGTATGCTTAGTTGTAGTAAACGCATGTTTAATTGCTCTGAAATCGATCACAGAATGTCGACCAACTTTATTCGATGATCTATTACATTCTCTGATCTTGCTCATTTCCACTGCTGTTAAGTATAAATCAGATCGTAAAAATCTACGATAAGAATCTTTTTCCATCAGTGACTGAATTCTACGTTGACATTGATCAAATGTATTTTTGTTAGCTGATTCAAGTTCTTTTTCCGTTTGTAATCTGGTATTAGAATCTAAGTTTACCTGTTGAACAAAGAAATCAGAATTGAAAAAAAATTACTTATGCCATGAAAATTGAGTTTTCTAAGGTTTTATTTTGTTAATTTAATCTGATATAAATTTACAAAATGTGTTTCAGGACAATATTAGTAATTAGAAGAGATCTCAAACCAGTTTCCATATTACGGTAGCTGAATCAATTTGGTGACCTGTAAAATCTTTAACGTAGTTTTCGTCTCAGATTGAAATTAGTTAGATGACCGCTGATAACCAAGAAGAACTACACAAATGATTTATTTCAATATAGGGCACCTTAGAACTGAGAATTTACTGTGCTACTTGTGATTATACTTAGAGCATCTTATAATGTAAGAATAATCCCTAGATCACTGAATCAACGTCAAGTGCTTTAAATCCATAATATTGAGCGATAATTGATAGGTAACTAACTACCTCACACTCGACTAAGTTAAACTTTATCCACTAGAACTCAAAAGTGAAATAATGATTTGATTTCGAACAGAGTTTGTCATTAATGTGTGAAAACTGATTCATATATATATATATATATATATATATATATATATATATATATATATATATATATATATATAATACAAACTGATTTTGTTTTGTTACGTTTCATTGTTCATTTGATCAGTTTAGTTAGAATGTCAAGGAATCATCTGAAATAATTGCCCAATGAAACTCTTGATATTGGATCGTTGAAATGTCCGCAACAAGAATAATGCAAATGATGTGATTTCACTCTACCTTATATTCTCAAAAGACTACTTGTTAGTCGTTGATTGTTAGGCAAGTTAAATTTTTATTGTTTATAAGATATGTTTTTGATTGATCACTCAACAGTGACTGATATCATGAAGGTCTAGAGTTTTTGAACAATTTCTATTCTACGATATACAATACAGCCACAAATCTAAGTGACTTGACATCGTTTGCACTTTCCTGAAATGTGAACTAGTGGTTAGAGGTAGTCGAAACAATCGAATCTGTCAGAGAGCACCGATGACCTCGGAAATACAGCCACGTCCCGTTGATGAGTGCTAAATAGTACGAAACTTATGTGTCTACAGGGTTTCTTGTTGACTATCTTCAATGAACATCTTAGATTAATTTAAATAACTATACATTAATAGTATTCCAATCAATGTCTATTTTAATCATCAAAGATAATATGTTATAATTAACTCACTAAATAACTTACTTCTCTTACAGCTTGAACTGCTACATACTCGTTGAAAATTTTGAATGCTTTACGTTGCATATTTTTTGTACCAGATTTATTACGATATTCTTCACAAATTAACCAAAAACGTATATTCTCATCACTGAATTCCGTGCGTAAAAATTCTCTAAACACAAGAACACCATCTTAAAGAAAGAAAAATCACCAGAACACTCATAAGTAAATTGATATTTAGACAATGTGATTAGGAAATAACTGTGGTTATTTTGATTTCCAGCTACCTTATTGTTTCATTGTTGACCTTTTAAAAATACTTAATTATTATTTCTATCCAATTATACTTGTGAAGCGTAGATATGACTAGTCAAAATAGTAAAACGTAATTCGAATAGTTTTTCTTGTTATTTATAAGTGTAAACTATTAGAAATGTAATCCATATGATGAAGCCATTCAGCACAACTTGCACCAACTAAGCCACAAGTGATTGAGAAGCATTGGAAAATGTAGAGACCTTTACATACCTTGACAGCAGCGTTTATGAGCTCGGTGAATCTAATCCAGATGTGAAGACAGATTGGCAGAGCAAGGGCATCATTTCTTCAATTGAAGAACATCCGGAAACTACAACACAACTATCATCCAGTGCCAAAGTTAGAATTTTCAATACAAATATCAAGATAGTTTTGATGTATGGGATGGAAACTTGGAGAACTACGAAAGTCATTATCCAAAAGATTCTGGTGTTTATTAAAGGTTATCTACTCAAAATACTTCGGATCCGTTGGTCATACACCATCAGCAACATACGGTTGTAGAGAGCAGACCAGATTCCAGCAGAGGAACAAATCAAGAAGGAGTACTGATAGTGGACAGGACACACACTGCGCAAATCACCCGACTGCATAACAAGGCCAGACTTTATTTGAAATCCTTAAGGCCAAAGGAAAGGAGGAAGACCAGAGTACACAATACTCCGAGAGTTGGAGACAGACATCAAAAGAATGAACAGCTATTGGATAGAACTGAAAGAATGATCTCAGGACAGAGTAGGTAGGAGAATGCTGGTCGGCGGCCTTTGCTCCATTGGGGGTAATAGGAGTAAGTAAGTAAGTAATATTTTATGAAGATACATATATCAAAATAACTTTACAAAAATAAATATAGAAAAATATTAATTAATGAAATGATGAATAGGCTAGTGTATTAACTGACCGTATGCAAATTATCAATAGTTTTATAAGCTATTTCAGTCAACGTTGGATAGTATGAAACCTGAGTACCGCAAAACTGAAATTTCATTTATATTTGTGGCTGTTCATTACTACCAGATTTTGGGCTCCTATATCTCCCGACCGTAGCTGCTACCTTGACGTGGTGGTCGGGCTTGCCTATCGTGATGACCCAACCGAGCTATACTGGCTGGAACATATGTTCCTCAAGGTTCTACCATGCCAGACAGGTCGATTGGAGAACGATGAGACTAAAAGCAGCTACCCAAGGTCTGAGGGCGAAGTCGTACTGCCCACTGCAGAGGGGTGTGACAGCAGTAAGGTGTTTCCCTCAGACAACCAGCATCTGCAGCGATGCTGCCTTCTCACAAGGAAGGAAGGGTTAGAAAAGGTCGACCCTAAACATGTCACACCTCCCCTAACTCACGGATTTCCGTCTCCTTGGGTAAGGGTGCCCACTAAGGGCCTTGAAGAACGGAGCTAATACTGAAAAAACTCCTCATAAAAAGGCTGTGCGTGACCGGCCTCAAGCAGTTGTCCCTTGGGCTCTGCGGTCACGCACCAACACTAATCTATCTTCCTTTTCAGGTTCCTCAAGAAACAACCTTCCACGGTGTGGGCAGCCGGGAAGTGACAACCGCCCTCATACCCGTACGAGCACGCGAGACCAAATTGGTCAAAATCAAATCCTTCCTACACCCCCTAGTACCTCTCTTATCTCGACGACTAACTCTTCTCACATTCATTTATCACAGTGCACAGCTAATGCAGACGACACGAGTTCACGAAACGTCGTTCCTGGTCTCCTTAAACCTCGCTCTAGACTACATTTTGGAGCATTCAATGTACGGACATTGTGTCAACTAGGGCAACAGGCTTCCTTAGCTAGGACTTTAGAATCTCGTGCCATCGATGTATGCTGCGTCTCGGAAACGCGCATACAGGATCCGAGTCACGTCATACACTTGGCCACAACATGTCAAAATAAAGAAGCAGCTCGATTTACTCTTCGTGTATCAGGAAGCCCTGATGCTGCGTCTCGGGGTCTTGCTGGTGTAGGCATAGCATTGAGTCGTAGGGCAGAACAATCTCTCCTTGACTGGATCCCAATAGATAGTCGATTGTGCGCTGCCTGACTAAACGGGACAGTAAGGACTCGGAAAGATAGGGACAATCGCCGTTGCCTCTTCATCGTATCTGCCTATGCCCCCACTGAATGCAGTTCAGACGAGGTTAAGGATGAGTTTTACAGAAAGCTTTCGGACCTCCTCCAAAAAGCTAGGCGCTCTGATATAGTAATAATGGCTGGTGACTTTAATGCTCAAGTAGGTAGACTAAGTGAGCAGGAGAGACACCTAGGTGGATGTTATGTTGTCGCGGCTCGGAGAACAGACAATGGTGACCGTCTGTTGCAAGCATGCTCAGACAACCGCCTATTCTTAGCAAACACCAACTTTAGGCATAAGGAAAAGCATCTGTTGACCTGGCGACCTCCAAAGTCGTCTCAACGTTGGACTCAACTAGGTCATATCGTCATCAGCCACCGATGGAGGGGTTCGGTAGAGGACTGTCGCTCGTTCTGGAGCACATGTCTAGATTCAGATCATGCCCTAGTGCGAGCGCGTATTTGTCTGAAGCTTACTGGGCGTAGGAAAGACACCGTAAGAAAACCTCTTAGGGTTTTACTTAATGATAACCAAACCAAGAAAATATTTCAGGAACAACTAGAAAGACAGTTAGGCGACCATTTAGGCGATTCCCATCCGGAAGCAGGATGGAATGATATCAAAAAGGCTGTGGAAACAGCAGTGATATCTGCTAGTAATGTTGACCATAAGGCTAGAATGAAACCGTGGATCTCAGTAGCATCCACCGATCTGATGGATGCCCGAAAACGCATCCCACCTGACTCTGAACATGATGAAGAACGAAGTCAACTTAGGCGCAGACTTATAAAAGCCTACGTAACGATCGCGAACAGTGGTGGGTGGCGAAAGCAAAAGCGATGGAAAAGGCAGCGGCGATCGGCAACAGTAGACAACTTTTCCGACTTATCAAGGAAACTGGTATTAGGAATCATAGTGTGAGACTATCTCAGAAAATGACGCGACCATTATTTATTCTCAATCCAGGAGACTGGATCGATGGGCAGAACACTTTAGGGATCAGTTCAACTGGCCTCGAGCCACTCTTGAGTTACCCACGATCTCCAGTCATCCTGAATGGCAAATCGACGTAAGTCCCCCTAGTCTTAATGACGTTGAGAAAGCGTTAGGAAATCTGAAACGAGGACGAGCTGCAGGTCCTGATAGACTGACCCCTGAGATATTTAAGGATGGTGGTCCAGTTTTAGCAGCTAGGTTGACTGAGATCTTAGGTAGAATCTGGGAACTTGACGTAATCCCACCCGACTGGTCTCAATCACTGATTGTCCCAATCTATAAGAAAGGACAGAAGTCTTCTTGTGACAATCACAAGGGAATAAGTCTAACTAATATAGTATCTAAAATATTGGCCTCAGTAATACTTCGACGCTTAACGAAAGCTCGTGAAGAGCAAACTCGAGAAAACCAATCTGGTTTTCAACCTGGTCGTGGCTGTATAGAACACATTTTCACACTACGACAGGTCCTGGAACACAGACACACATTTAGGCGTCCTACAATAGTTGTTTTCCTGGACCTTAAGGCGGCATTTGACTCAGTGGATCGTGAGGTTCTGTGGCAGTGTCTGTCATCGAAAGGTGTACCAAGGAGGTACATTAACCTCATACAAGCTCTCTACTCAAACACCACTGGTCGGGTGAGAGCTTATGGCGAACTGTCACCGGAATTCTCTACTTCAAGTGGTGTCCGTCAGGGATGTCCACTTTCTCCATTCTTGTTTAATTTTATCATAGACATGCTCCTGGAAATAACCTTATCCTCGTCTGAATTTTCAGGAGTAGACCTTCTACCAGGTGGCTCGCTTATTGACTTAGAATATGCCGATGACATTGTCCTACTTGGTGAAGATGCTGACAAAATGCAGAGTCTTCTGACTACCCTAAGCAACAATGCAAGCATGTTCGGGATGCGGTTTTCCCCCTCGAAATGCAAAATGTTGCTTCAAGATTGGGTTTCATAGGCACCTGAACTAGTGATAGGCAGTGAAGTGGTCGAACGTGTAGACCGCTTCACTTATCTTGGGAGTCTCATCAGTGCTGATGGCCTGGTGACTGACGAAATCTCGGCACGGATACAGAAGGCTCGATTGGCTTTTGCCAAACGGCGTCACTTATACCGTAGGCGAGATATCCGTTTGCTAACTAAAGGACGAGTGTACTGCGCAGTAGTTCGCTCCGTCTTACTTTATGGCTGTGAAACATGGCCAATGAGAGTAGAAAATAATCATCGGTTATTGGTCTTCGATCATAGGTGTCTTCGAAGCATTGCTCGTATATCGTGGGACGCCCGAGTGAGCAACGCTGTTATTAGGAAACGGGTACTAGGTAAGAATGGCAGATCAATAGATGAAGTGGTGAAACTTCATCAGTTGAGGTGGTTGGGACACGTGTTGCGTATGCCTAACCACCGACTGCCTTGTCGAGCTTTGTTTTGTAGTGTAGGAATAGTTTGGAAGAAAGCTAGGGGCGGCCAAACCAAAACATGGCATAAATCCATGAAGTCATTGACTAGTGGACTTAGCCATGTCGGTAAATGTCGACTACCTGGTTGGGGTCCGCGAGATGATAATAATCGATGGCTAGAGACCTTGAATGACATGGCTCAAAATCGTTCGCAATGGCGCCGGTGCATTTATTCTTTATGTTCTCTCTAATTCCAACCTTCTGAATTCTTCATAATCTCTATCTTTCTCCTTCTAAATTTATCTTACTGAATTATACTTCTCGAATAATATCTCATCCTAACCTCTCCAATTACTTCTAATACCTTTACTACCTCTTCTACTATTGGATTTGAATTGACAATTATATCTCTGTGCTGATGTGGTATGGCGACATGAACTGATGTACTTACGTACGGGGTTCTACGTTGCAACTGACTGACTGGGCTCCTATATCTATAAAATTTAATTTGGAAACACAATACTACTAGATGAAAACTACATCTTTTGTTCGCTGAGTTTAAACACAATGTTTCATTTTTTCAAACTTTAATAGCCTAGCACTTGTAAATCAGCTATTATTCAATAATTTCAGTGAGTGTTCCACTTTGCTTGCGCTGTAGTCAACTTCACAAATCATCAATGGGTTTTTGAGTATCCATATCGAAGTAACGAAATTACTAGTATAGAAGTGACATATTTCTGCGAAATGTTTGGATTACTGATAACCGTGAAATCCTCACTGAATATTTACTCCTATCTGAGATCTGTCAAATCGACATAAATGCACGCTGGACTTTATAAATACACCAGAACCTGAAATGAATGTCTTACGCTTCGGATCCCAATGTAATGTTCACTGAACAACCGTGTTCAGGTTGAAACTGCCTTGTTTACTGAAGGTGAAAGTATAAAAAATGATTTGTAATCTTCCATTACTGTCGTTAATATTCTAATATGTTACATGATTCAATAAAAGGTAAAAACAAGAATTTATCTTAAAAAATGGTCATTCATTTTAACTCAACTTAATAGAAGTACATGACGAGATTCAGTGAAAACGTTTAGCATTTATCACTGGTTTCCTTCTGTGGTTTTTCAGTCTCAAGTTCAAATTATTTTTACTTTAGAGTTATGGAGATTAGTGTTTTTACACATTTGAATTGAAAATACCGTAAAATTTGCTCACTAGTTACTAGCTTCGTGAAGAAATTCTCGGAGTTCTAGTGAGAAGACGTGACCAATGGGGTTCAACCCCGTCGGGTGTAGGCAGTAACTACCAAAGGCAAATGGGTGAAGGTCGCGCTAAATCCCTAGATCAATCAGAGTTAGACATTAACACCGTTGGACGCCGGCTCAGTGGTTCAGAGGTTAGGCGTTCGCGCCCAATACCGAAGGTCCCGGGGTGCAGGAGTCGTGGATGCGCACTGCTGATGAGTCTCATACCAGGACGAAACGGTCGTTCAGTACTTCCAGGTTTTTAGTGGTGGTCTAACAATAATTGATTGATGGTTTCAAATGTGTATAAACACTATTCTCCATAACTTTTATTGAAAATCTCATACTACTTTATTTAATTTAACAAATTCAAGCACCACCTGTTCTTATAAACATTTGAGTTTAACAATCGCGTAGAATATATTGATTTCATGCTTACATTTATTCCTTAATACGGCTTCAAATGAACGCGCCCAATCTTCTACATCTTCTCTAGTTGGTCCACCAGAACGAAATAATTTTTCCAAAAATACTCTATTGTTTGAAACAACGAAATCAGTTGTGTATGGATTAGTTGCAACTGAACTATGAGAACGATAGAGTGTTGTTATTTTATCACGTACACCGATTGCTCTAAAATATAGATAGCATTAAAATAATATTATTTACAGAAAGCCAAGAATCTTTAAATCGAAATTTGTTACGATTTATAAACCGTTAGTCCATTAGTCCATTTTGATAGAACAGTGAGAAGACGTAATCAAATTGATTATATAAAATGCCTTGACAAATAAATATGTGTGACTAGGTTATTCGAAATGTATAGCGAAAATACATCACATTTTTCAGACCAATTACGTCTTCTAACTGTTCTATCAAAATCACAAATCGATCGTTTTGATGAAAAAGCAAATTGTGAATTAATTCAAAATCACGATTTCTGTCGAAGTGCATTGAAATTGCTTGCTTAGATTCATGTCACTTAATTCAACACGATATCGTAATTAATGAAAGAATTGTTTAGAAATGAATAACATTGATCTGAAGTAGTACGATCTCAGTATTCTTTTTCTATAAAAAACTAAAGATAAACACTGAAGTAAAATTGTTTTGTTATTAAAGCACTCTGAATTAGCTAAGGAAAATCTTGTCATTAACAAAAACATTACAGAATAAAAACTATTAATAATTATTTACAAATTTGGTTCCTCTCCAACACAACTAGCATCCATATACCAATGAACACGTATAATTTTTAAGAATAATGATAAAATTTTCAACAAGTACAATATACTGATCATGTATATATTTTCTGATAGGTTATGACTAATATTATGAGTTTTTTCATTATTGAGTTGTGGAGATTGTTGTTTTACGAGTAAGGTCGAGAGCTAATCATTGTTAGACCACCAGTGGAAACCTGAAAGAACTGGACAGTCGTTTCGTCCTGGTATGAGACTCTTCAGTAGTGCGCATCTACGCTACCTGCAGGAATAGAACCGAGAACCCTCAGTCTTGCGCGTGAACGCCTAACCTCTGGAACACTGAACTGGCGGAATCCAAAGGTGTCAGTGTCCAACTCAGTTTAATCTAAGGATTTTGCGAAACCTCACCCATTTTCTCAGGCAGTTACTGTCTACATCCGACAGGGTTGAACTCCACTGGTTACTACGCTTGAATATAACTTTGAGAATTTCCTCACGCAGCTAGTCACTGGTGAGGACATTTTATGATTTTTCATCATAAAGTTAAAGAGATTGTTGTTTTATATTTGAATTTGTTTCTACTGGTGGTCTAACGATAATTGATTCACGACTTCTAATCCTATCCTCTCCGATTACTTCTAATTCCCTTACTACCTCTTCTACTATTGAATTTGAATTGACGATTACTTCTCTGTGCTGATGTGGTATGGCAACATGAACTGATGTACTTATGTACAAAATTCTACGTTGCATCTGACTGACTTCAAATGTTATATGACATGATAAATGATTTTAAATATGTTCATCTTTTGTTCAAAATGATAATGCATTAGGTTAATTAGTTATTTTTACTCATCTTTCTAGAGTTGATATGTACAAAATCTTGTTAATTCTCTTTTTTGATGATCTATTAAGTCTCATAAAGAAGAAATATCCACGAGAAATGTTATTTTGTTTTAAATTAAATATCGAATGTTGATCAAAATATTTCATTATACGTTTAGTGTAAATCCATTTTCATACAATAATAAATTCTATTCAATTGCCTTAGTAAATAAATGAGCAAATTGAAATATGATAAATGCCAAACAGCATTTCGAAATATGAAGCAATGAATAAAAGTAGTCGATTTAACCCAATTAGCATAATAATGGGATTGTGGAATTTTTTTTCTATCCATTAACTTCGAAGTATTCTAATCGCGAGATTTGAACGAAATGAACAAAATGTGTTATTTTTGATGACTTAAGCCCAAAATATCTTATACAGTTTAAGATACAATTTTTCTAAAGCATTCCGATGCTAAGAGTACTTTGTAAGATTTTATTTGAAACTAGTTTTTAATCACAACTGTAATTGATTTGACTAACTCTATGCGAAATCAATAAATCAGATTGACCACACTTGTGTGTAGTTACTGTAATTACATAACGCTCTTTGATGCTTCATGCATTTATCAAACAGATACAAATTAACAAACTCAGACTAATTAAAGTCGAACTTTTACGCAATTAGATTCACGCTCAATGTTTAGAAGCTGAGTTGGACCTGGGTTCGAGTTCAGGTTCCAAGGTTGTTAATGATTACTACTCAGCAGTTCCATACTTGAACGAAACAGGTATTTAGTAATTTAATGGTTTCAATGGCTCACTGATTTAGACTGGTTCATGATCAAAATAAAACTAAATAATAACCATAACTCCATACGGACAATAAATTTTTTGATTTTCGCTAATAAAATTCTACAAATGATAATCCTTAGAACGATATCACAGTGATAATCATTAAGGACTAGAAAAATATGATATTGATTATTACGTGATCATTCACTATGAACATCCATGATCCGCCAAAAGTTTATCAACTGTACGGGTAAAAAACGTTCCTCGTAATATTCTATTTAGCTTTCGTTATCAAAGTAAACATTTGAACCATAAATCAAAAACGTCTATACCTGAGAGAGTCTATGGTAAGATATATAGTGTTTCTTAGTAGAAAATAATTGTGATTTGCATATATATATATATATATATATATATATATATATATATATATATATATATATATATATATATATATATAGAATATAGTAGCGTCTACAAAGCGCAATAAATTTTCAGACTAATGTATACTGAGGTTTCTATATTCCATTTAACATCTTTTGTTGAATAAAAGAGTTAGTTTGATTACGATAGAAATAATTCGCCTTAATCTGATTTGAATTCATTGATGTAACAAAATGTGCAGTCGTATGCAATATACCGAGAAATGTCAGATAAAATTACAATAATTAAATATTTGAGATTCTTGAGTGAAGTAATCGTTTATAAATTAGGATCAGTTATCTAACGGTCGCCATTTTAGTAATCGAGCTTTATAGATAGTTGGTTTCAAACCGATGCAGAACAGTTGATGCTTGATAGAAAAAGACATTAAAAAGTTCCTTAATGACACAACTTATCCATAAGCAAAAAAAATAATTAGAGTTATATGTCAAAGGACATATGTCTTTATTAGTTTTGCCGTTGGACAATAATCATGTTTTACCCACATAGACTCATTATCTGGAAAAAACCAGGTAAATAAGTTAATCTACTATACTGATAATCATTGTTTCATATACAGTGTACTTATTAAAATTAAGAAGTTCATCATTTATTCTGTTTCAAAAGAAGTTGGACTTGAATTTCAAAGAAATATATGTGTATTTGATAACTAATAGTAATAAACAGAATCCTACTGTGGCTGCTTCTGGTTGAACAATGTTTATCACTCTACATTTGAATTATAAGATTCGTTCGTTGGTAATTAAATATCGAGCATATGGAATGAGAAAAGAATTCAAGTTCACAAAGTGTTTATTGTTTATTACTTTAACAATTAAATTTTATCAGACTGAAAACTTTTAATAACCAGAGATAACTAACCTGTTTCACATTATGCTAATTTTACTCACCCTTATCGATACAATCTTATGAATTAGTAAATACAGTCAATGAGAGTATGATTAACATAGAAATTTTATCAATAATGTTGACTGTCTGTTTAACATTTTTTTTAATTTTTGTTTAAAATAATCTTAGTGTTACGTTGTATTGTCAACATAGTTATATCAATTTAATTGAAGTTTTTCTCTAGCTACTGTAAAAACATACATTCATTTACTTCAACCGTAAATGTTCGTATACACATTTAAATGACGTAATTTGAAGTTTATAACATACAAAATTAAAGCCCCACTCTTAATTTGCCTTATTACAATTTTTATCGTGAGAAATAAACCTTTTGGGAATGAATATGATGACAGTGACAAAAACGTTTCATAAATTATTATTATTATTATTATTATACATGTCAGAGTATCGATTTCATATGTGGCATAGTTGTTGTTGCACAGTGCCTAGTTGTTTTATGTCATAAACGATAAATTATTTCGAGTTGTTAGTTATTCAAATAAAGTTAGTGTTATAAACTGTAAGTTTAAGATTCACCATATACCGCATAAAATAAAAATGATAATCATGTACTTACTGGTCGCTAATCTCTAGAGGTATTCCAGTGAGCATATAATGACTGATGGATTTCAGCTACTTCAGATTTAAGACAGGTAACGAAAAATTCAATGAATAGTGATCGTGCAACTTCAGGCACTGGCTGAAGTTTGGAATGCTGACGCTGCAGTCTAAGGGTAGTTCTCTCACAAGGAGCAATAGTCAAATAGCAGCCTAAAGATTAGCTTTATATAAAGCACGATATTTATCGAAAACAACCGCACATAACAGCTTCGATTCTGCAGTGATTGTATGCTAAAATTTTTAAAAACATTCTCAAGTGCTAGTTTAGTTAATTCTACAAAGATTGGTTATCAGTTTGATTTCATGTTATTTTGCGTAACTGCTGATATCACCTGTAGAAACACTTACTACCAGGTAGTATGAGATACCTATTTCAATAAATAATCTATTTACGAATGCGATCACATTTAAACTAAGTTATTAACTATTGATTAGATGAACCAATCTTATTAGTCATGAACAAAAGCTTTATAATGATGACGTTATTTTTAAAAAGCAAAGCATTCATATTTCTAACTCTTTAAGGTTAGATTTTTAATCGTCTGTTTGAACAAACGATTTTTGTTTTTATTACTGAGAAATGACTAGTTTACGAAATCGTTAAGGAAGATTTCAATGTTCCGTCACTGCTGACTGAAGGATTGGTGATATTCAGTGGCGACACCATGTTAGTAATTCAAAGCTTCAGTAACGTATGTTCAGGCACAGCAATGACAACACCGAATTCGGTGACCTGGACATATACTACGAATGTCGTCCCGACGAATTCCACATTGTTCACTATTTGCCAACGCTGAAAATGGTTGGAAAAAACGGAGAGGTACTTAGTGTACAACAAAGTGTAGTGGAATGAAAGAAAGCTGTATATGACTGGCGTCTGCTGATCGTTCACGACTCCCTGGTTCGATTCTATGGCTTGAAACATAATCAGATGTTCAGAATAGAAGGCTGTGGGGTCCCTGCTGTAACGTTATTAGTATGAGTAACCTCTTTCAAAGAAAGAATTTCTTCTGTTTGCATTTTCATTAACTGATTTATTTCTCCAGCTATTATTATTATTACTATTATTATTATTATTATTATTATTATTATGGTTCGTACTCTAATTTCTTCCCATCTTTTTTTCATTATACTCAATGTCAAATTGCATCTTGAAGTGATTTTAACTAAATGCTATACTTCTAAATGTGAATTTTTCAAGACTGTTTGAAAACGAATACTTCAGATTACATCATCCTATGTATGGACATTAATAATCTCGAATTTAGTCAATTATTTATTTTAGTGTATTCATAATGTAGATAAATAATACTGACATTGTTGACTTCAAACTCATAAGTAAAGCTTTAATTACATTTTTTAGTAGTAGTTGTTTCACTTATATTTACACAAAAAATACACAGCGTAAGTAGTAGTGACGGACAAAATTAGCATTTGTATATTAAGTAACAGTTTGTGTGTTGCATCATCGTGAGGTCAATCATGATCAAATATGTTGCGTTCAATAAGAGTTGTTAAATTGTTCAATAATGCATTGAAAAAGATTTACAACTTACAGTCTACTTAATTTTCTTTCTAATCTTGGCGTTCTATCCAGTAGTGCTGCTAACTCTGTTGTATGACAAACATTTTCACTATTATTATTATTATTATTTTCAAGGGATGTTTTCAAATGTGAATTATTTGAATGTGGTGATAATTTTCTATCATGATTAATAAATGAAAAATGTCGTAGGAAATGCATTTTAACCGATTGGTTTTGATCTGTGTTGCTTGTAGTTGTGTTTACATTGTTTGTATTTGATTGATCAAAACAAGTTTTTCGACGTTTTTTATGCATCTCTAATTTTTTATGCTGTTCATGAAAATAACTACATAATATGTGAGGGATGAAATGTGAAGAATGTAATCCGTAAACATTGGAAGATTTTGTTTTTTTTTCAATTTCTAAACTATGATGACTGTTGAAATTGTTCATGGTATGTTCATATTTGGAATTGGCGGTTTTAGAATCAGTTTGATGCAATGTTTTAAGGAGTTGCGAATCACTGACATTTCGTTGATTTTCAAGATACACAGATGATTTCTGTATTTCAGAATCACAATTTATACACTGAAAATAGTTGAAAATGTATAAACTAATTCAGTAAAGAATTTATTGTGAACAAAGAAAAAAGCATTTGACACTAAGAACATTACTGAATCATTCATCGTACACAATCATCAAAAGAAAATGAATGAAAAATCAAACATGCTTCAGTTCAAATAAGCATCAGATTACACATATGACTATGTGTATGGCAAATCGATGACTACGAAGTTATTTATTTTTATGGATCTTTCTATATTTTTGAAATAAAGTAGGCTTAACATTAGTTTAATGGTAGGATTTCTATTTTGAATCTGATTTCCAACTTGGTAACTGTTACCACTTATATCTTAAGTATGACATCTAACAAAAGAGGTAGCACAAGATTATTATTGTATACTATAATTTGTTATTCTTTTCAAAATGGGATCTGGCATTTTAACAAATCGGTATCAGTTGAAAATCCATTAGAAACAAGGAACTATTGTACAACTATTTCATCTTCATTTAAGATTTATCTGCAATGTGAATCCAGAATACTAAATAGTATAAAACACACTATATTAATGTTTTCTGATACATAAAACGATTGAACTAAACGTGTGCAACTGGAACAATATATGCCTCATTCTGTAAACGTTTATGATCATCTATCACGTGTTATAATAGTTCGGTTGAACAATCATTTTCAAAATCTAGATAGTAAACATCTGCAATTGATAGACAGTTTGAATTTCAATTGAACGAAAGAGTAACGAAATATGAATTATAATGGCTTTATTCAATACTGGTGTGTTTAGTACAATATGGAGTTCTCAGTGTGGAATATTTTAACCAGTTTCCTTTACAAAACAGTTAACGGTTGGCATTTGGAAATAAGTAGTTCAGGAGTCGACATGTTATTCTTTTCCCATATTACTAGTTACTAGTATTCGCGGTATCTTAAAGTGTACATTTCTGAACATTGTGAAGCAATAGCTCGTAAATATTTTGTATACTCATCTGAATAGATTATACGCTTAATAAATATGGGTGACTTGGTAAGACAAACAGGAAGAGGTGAGTTGTCGAAATATTTTGATGTTAAAAAACAAGTAGACCAGATATTCAAGCAGACCGTCTCTTATATTGAAGGTTTAATTTCTTGCCTCTTGTCCATTTGCTAATATTCATTGTATGCAAGATTAGACTACAGTGTGCTAAGCTTAAAGTATTTAAGAAATATGATAACACAGAAGGAACGGAAAACTGTTCATTGTCGTTTACTATTCAATGAAACTGGACAGAATGATAGTTCGAAGCCAAGTTAGTAACCTTGGACGTTACCATGTCTAGTAATGTTTATGAACTTAGACTTTATTGTCTACAGACCTGTCATATCGATAATAATTGATTTACTTATTCACTGTCGAAAAACAAATTGAAACTAAGTAGAACAGATTCGTACAGAACTTTGAGAACAAGCAAAATAAGTAAAACTCAACAAATCACTCAGACAGTAATATCAAAAATCTTTTTTTGCTTCTTATTCTTAAAATTCACATTACATCATGGTATAAATAGAACAGGTTTCATCATGTATGTTTTATTTTCAGATATGTATAACTCATTCAAGCATAAATCTTAGTTGTAAGCTTCAGAAACATGAAATTTAAGCTTACACTTTGCAAATGTACACTTGATACTTGAATGTAGAAACAAGACAGTGCAATTATACAAAACATTCACTAATGTTTGTAATTAACAGATACAATAAAATCTACACATATATCAAAGATTTTAAGTTAGGTCTGTGCTTAATTCATGAATTTCAAACTGCTTAGGAGTCTCATACGAGGATGAAACAATTGTCAAATATTCCCTTGATCATAATAGTTACTTAATAAGACTAAACAGTGATAAATACTTAGGGATCAGAATAATATCTATGGAAATACATAATATTTACTTTAGTTGAGCCTTAAATCATGCTTCTACTCTAATAAAAATATCTAATAACTAAATGTAAAATAGTTTTACAATGTAGCTAACTAGTATGACAAGAATAGGCTTTTTGGTAGAAAAATCTAGCCACCTTTTCACTAATTCCTAGTCTTGCATAAACATTCGCATTCATTTATTGTGAATTGAAGTTATACAGTGATGAATTTGCCTAAACACAATTTATTGTAACGAAATTTACAGAAATAGCTAAACTGCAAAGAGGAATAGATGCTGTTCTATTTCAAATGCTAGAAATAAGGCATCATTTTTAATGAGAAAGAAAAACACACTATTTGTTAGAATGCATTTTAGATAAATTTGTAACTTTATTATGACTAGATAATTTCTTCCAAAATGTTCAATAAATTTATGATTTATGATTTTGTTTAATTATTTACTAATAAATAAATACATAGTGCAATGATGTTCAACTTGTCACGTGTACCAGTTTCGTTTTTCGATTCACTAATACTGTCTAGTTCAAGGTTCATTTCATTTTCAATTTTTAATAGACAGTCAAAATATAGATTATATTTCTTCCCTTTAGCAAACTGTTAAATATTTTATCACCAGGCCGTTTTATTTTCCACTGATATTCTGTTCCAAGACTGCGTGTAATTGACTACAAAACAATGAAATCGAGATTACCTTCTTCCTATAAAGGCTCTACGACAGTAGATAAAACTATTAAATAGCATAAAATGTATCGAAAGTAACCAATGAAAGTGATTTAAATTTCCTTATCGCGGAGACAACTATTCAATACAAGTATAAATGTTTCAAAACAAAATATTGGAGTGAATAGCCTTTCAGTAATATATGTTTAGGGTCAAAAAATAAAAAAATAAGGATTTAAATTTAAATTTTGGAGAACATTGAATTATCAGTTGTTTAAATAATCATGGTAAAAATGTATTCATGATTTGAAGAAACAGTGAATGTCGGACAAACCTAATTAGTAAGCATAAGACAATTCTGAGACCTAATGTTTCTTGATAAGTGAGTGTATCAACACACGAATATGTTTTGCTTCAACACTAGTTAAATCTCTCAACTAGATTTTTAAAACCTGATAATGTTAGCCACAATCTGGACACTAAATCTTGTATATTTTATATGAAATTTTGAGTGTCTAGTATTTCTAAACCATCGTAGTCAAACAAACGTGTTACATGGAATTAAAACCATCAATAATAAACCAGCTCAAAACATCCGATTAGTTTAACTTTGTAGCTTTCATCATATTCAACGTTTTCGCTACATTTTACTGGTTGATATTCAGTATTTTAAAATGTGATTATGTCTTAACCGATCGTCAGGCAGAAAAATAAATGTTTACACGCTATATGGTGATAATTGGAATAATATTAAATACTTGTTTGCAGAAAATTCTATCCTCTTCCTTTAACAACAACAAAGCAGCTAGAGAAAACATGTTTTCAGAGTATCCGAAAAATGAATCATCACTTATCATTCCTCAGTTTGTTCAACTCTTCAACACACGTACACACAAAGTCATATTATTAGTCTGTCTGAGATATGAATATATATATTGATTTCAAGGTTTTTTGCTTATTCGATAACTGGGCATAAACAATCAATTAAATAAAGTGTATCATCCTAAGATCTACCAGCTAACTAATTGACATAACAGTTTTCTCAAATAATCCAATTAAAGAAAAAACCCAGAAAAAAAGTTGATGATGGTTGAAAAAAAGGGATCTAAATCACAACTGTTTATTGTATTTTCTTGTTTTCCAACATTTCGATTGATTCATGCTGGGTTTTTTTTGAACAAAGTTTTGTTTGTAGCTAACATGTTGTCAGTCATTATTAGTTTTATAAATTTAGAAACAAATGAATTTATAATTAAATAATAAGTTTTAATTGTCCAAATGTTTCCAATTGATATGAAATGTAATTTTTTACAGTTTTAATTTTTGAATACATTTTACAGTTAGGTGTCCTATAGTTGAATGAATATAAATTGTTTATACAATACAGTTGTTTCTATGAGGTATATTTTAGTTATAAATTAAGTTGATTACGATTGACTAAGATTATGCATATATAATGAATTCGATGATACGATGCTTAGAGTAAAAAATGAACGAGATATTTGAAATTTCACACATTTTGTAACCATGAATCGATCAGTCTTGAACCACCATTAGAAACCTGGAAGCACTGGACAGCCGTTTCGTCCTGGTATGGGACTCATCAGCAGTGCACTTCTGCACCCTGCAGGAGTCTTGGATGCGCACTTCTGATGAGTCCCATACCAGGACGAAACGGCTGTCCAGTGCTTCCAGGTTTCTAATGGTGGTTCAAGACTGATCGATTCATGGTTACAAAATGTGTAATTTAACAATCTTAACGACCCCGTAGTTTAGAATTTTATTCGAAATATTTTTATATAGACCATTACGATTTGAATATTAAAAGCTGTAATGCCAACTTTATAAACTAACTTTTTACTGATTAAATATTGAAATAAGTTAGAAGAGCAGTTCATAGCGCTTCTTGGAAATACCCTTTATCCTGAGAATTACATTTTATTTACTTGTGATCATTCAAATGATAGAAAGTGAACATTTTATTAATCTTCCACATAATATTTAAGAACATGTATTTTAAGAGGTTGAAAGCGTACAGTAAGAAGTTTTACAACTAGGAAATGAATTAGTTAGAACTGGTCAACAAGTTATGTATATATATATATATATATGTTTAGATAAAATTATATGCTAAAGATCATTAAATGACAAAAGTCTTTGTCTTTGATTGCGTATAGTAGAGGAAAATATGTGTTTTTTCATTAAAATATCAGTGTTAAAGACGACTGCTTGTACAATTTAGTTTATTGCTGTAGATACATTACTGAAGTTTTGCATCAAATTTATGAATAAATTTGATAACTCATTTTAGTCTGACGTGACATTAATGTACAGAATTTATATTTTGATTTATAGATGATGTAGGATCCGAACTGAGGTTTGGACTGAGGAATAACTGTCTAGGTAGTTTAGATACGCGTCTTG